AAATTCGGGACTTCATGAGGTCCATTAGATCGCCTCACGTGGTACCCGTCAATGTCTCTTTCTACCATCGTTTGGATAAGTTACTCAGAGGATCATCATCCAATCACAGACTCTCTTACGGAGATGGAGTACTTCCGGTGTCAAGAAAGAGCAAGTGGACTTCCGGACTGATGGCTCTTTTATTGTCAATCTTACTCTATTTCTTTCCCCTTCATCTTTTATTTTGATGCGTTTTTATCCACTTTCCTAACTGCTTCGATACATCTTCGTCCCACACATGGCACCAACGTTACTTAAAAGAAAAATGCAAATTGAAGGATTTACAACATGGCACAACTTTTCATCCACGATTCCGCATCAATTCTGTTATCATAAAAGCCGGAAGAGAGTTCAAACATCACAGAAAATGCATCGGAAAGATAAGCAATGAACGTAATTCCTAGAATATTTTTAATTCCAACTTATACATGGAAAAATAAGTCAAGCGCACGCAGCATCTTAGTTGACCATATTGTGCAAGTTCTTCCATCAAACAAATTGATTTTCTGATGGAACATAAACAAATAGATCTCCGAGTAATAGATTCATGCTTAAGAGGATTAAAAAAATATATGTTATTTTTATTCTTTTCCCTAAAGATTTATCTTATTTTATGATCAATAATCATTAAGTCAATCGACCCGAGTAAAAAGTAACAATGAAGAAAATTCGATGATCGATGTTGGTTCTAGGAAAAAAATAAAAAAAAAAAAAAACCGTACTACTTAGTGTGCATCAACCGACGATGCAGACTAAGTAGAAAACAAAATGTTTGATTAAAAAATCAACTTATGCGTAAACACTTAAGATAGTTTTCCACAGGGATGTGAGATTATCTGATGTTTGATATATAGTGCAACGTTCCCCAGGGAGGGGAGGATAGCAGACATCAAACGGTTGTCACACAAAGACCCTAATACCCAGCTACAGATACCGAACAATAGGGTTTTGCTTCGTCTACATAAGCTCTTTTTTTCGTCCCCATGACATTACAGATTGCTCGATTACAAAAATCTGATCAGAAATTCGCTGAAAAAAGTGGTTCCTCTTCTATTCAAGCATCGAGAACAAATGAAATCAAGCCTGCATCGCATACTTTGCAGGTCAGAAAGAGATTGGAAATTGCAAAGTCTTATCCGAAAAGGGAGATAAAGTAGAGTAGAAAAGGAGTTATTTTAATTCTTTAGGAGGATTTCAGATACAGAAAATCAGAAATATTTACTGTAAAATCTTCAAATTTTCTTACAGTTTATGTTGGAGTCATGGGAACCACTAAAATACATAACAAAACCATAAAATAATCACCAGAAGGCCTGAAATTAACAGCAAAAAAACATACATTGGAAGCTGAAAACAATGAAAAATGATTAGAAACTTTGCAACATTTACAATTTTCTTCCAAAATCTCTATTATTTTCCCACTTAAGATAGGTTTTTAGCTATATGAGTCATAGGATGGGAGCCAATAAGTGCGACACAAATAAAAGAGAGTCGAATGGGAACCTCATATGAGGTCAGGCATTTATGGGTGTCGGGGTGCCACGTGTTTACTTTGATTTCTGAGCCGGATATTGGATTGAAACTTTAGCTAATATACGTAGATAAGGTTTTTCCCACACAAGAAAAGAACCCTAAATCTGATGCTAACGAGTTAATTAACACTTAAACTGCAGAATTATCTAATTTCACGTTTCCAAAAAGAAAAAGAAAAAAAAATTTAGGAAATTATATTTGTCATCGGTATTAAAGAAATTGAACGCGGAAATGTATTTTTTTTTTATTTTTTATAAAAAAAAGGTGATGAGGAAGAGCAAAACTGATTTTTCTAGATTGACAAGACAAGCAAACTTCACTCTCTTCTCAGCTTCATTTTTTGAAATTTAAATTTGTTTTTTTAGAAAATTGAGTTGAAACAAGATTTTTTCTTTTACTCTACTACTTTATATACATACATACATATATATAATAAAAAAATTTAAAAAGAAAATCGAGTTATAAAACGAAAGCCGANCTGTTTCCAGCTACTGATATATCAGTGCAGTAAGACATCACTACTGTTAATGCACAGTGTAAGGCATATGCTTTCATATAGTGTATGTAACAGGACTATCATAATGTTACGATGTGTAAACTATCGTGTACTATATACAAAATCCAATTTCAAATTTAGCCTACAATATCTTTGGGAATTGATTTAAATAACAGGTTTAGGTGTAAATCAGAATTTTTGCTGAAAATCTTGAGGTTGACTTATAAGCCAGCATATTTAATAACCTGTTGACAATATCTAGTTGTTAGAAAAAATTTAAAAAGAAAATCGAGTTATAAAACGAAAGCCGAGTAAGGGTAGCAATTTAAGTGAAGAGGGGTTCGAGTATAGGATTTCATTACACATACTCTTAACGAAATTTGGACCATAAAATTGTTGAAACTTATTCAAAAAAGTCCCCGCATGTCACGAAGAGGTAAATAATTCGAACGGAAGTCACCACAATGGCAGGAAATGAAGATTTGATGGCAAGCGATTTCTCCGGATGTCGGGTCACAGAGAAATGCACCCCTGGGGAAACAAACTTGGACACCAATGTCATTTCCGCTTTAAAAGTTAAATTGGATTTTGGTAGCGGAGACGGTAAACCCCCGAGACATTCCAAGTATCACCCTCCATAGAGGAACCATCCTGATAGAGTATCCAACCCTGGATATAACATTAAACGATTGCTTACTTAGTCCCGTCCAATATTCGTTTTTTTTCCCCCTTCTTTCTTTGATAAAATAAAAAATAGGAATAAAAAAAATCCACGGAAATTGCTAGAAAGTTCTGTAACAGAATTCCCAAAAAGACTAAAGAATGGAGTTGAAAGATTATTTGGTATAGGAATTATTTAATACTTGTTTGTTGTAAGCCAGCTTCATCTTCAATAAGATTATCTGAGTTCTTGGAAAAAATAAATAAATACAAAGTCTAAAAATGTCGTTCAAACTCGGTAAGACTTTTGTAGCTTCTTTTTTCCGGGGGTGTCTTTTGTGGTTTTCTGTTTGCTGGAAAGTAGATTTTAAAGCATTTTTATATCAAATCGTTTCGAACTTGTACAGTACGTTAAAGAAAGATGCTTACTTATCTACAAACTAATAAAAATCTACTGTAAAACCTTCACACTCAGTCTAAAAACCCGTTGTAAAAACTACTTTAAGTGCATTTCTATTAAATTACATTTAAATTTTGTGTGTATCTTTAGAATTAAATTGCATTTTTCAGCTTTTATGTAACTAACTGCATGATTTTCCTATTGAAATCAATTGCTTCTGACAAAAACTCCATCGTTACAAAGAGGTAATAATATTTAAATTATGAAAATGGTTTTTTAATTTTTGATATTCTCTAATAGGAAGTGAATATATGGATCCTAAATATGTCAAAAATTCGTCTTTTGCTTGAATGAAATTCGTAGAAAAGGCTTTAAATAACGAGTACATTTTCGATGTTCTTTAATATTATTTAAAGAATAAACACGAATCGAGTTCAAAATTGTCTAGAATTTAATATTTGTTCCATATTCCAAGCAATATTTTCAAGCAATTTCGAGCAACATCTTACATTTTAATTATTTTCCGAATTTTAACTATGTAAGCAATGTTATTATCGAAGGATAAAAAAAGGTGATAAATTACAAAATTGATAAAATAAAATGAGTTGTATCAAGATAGTTTCTCTGTTATAAATTCTCTGATAAGTTTTTAGGTCAAAGATCAATCGATAGCGAAATTACACCATTAAAAGCACCATACACACACACAAAAACTAACTCAAATTTTCGAAGTTTCGTGTTATAAAAATATAAAAAATTATTATAATTTCTTAATAATTAAAAACTGAAATAAAATTTAACAAATTAATTAAATAAATAAGATTTATTTTTAATTTAAAAATAAAAAATTTTGTTCTTTTTAAGGAAAGGAATTTATTTTTCGTGTGCAGTAACATCGATCGATGCTTAACTTGCCATCGTTTAAGGTTTACGATTGATGTCCTGGTCAGTTTGACAATGACTTTCAGATAATGTCAACTAAACTGACCGATTAGTGTTGATTTTTGACGTCAAACCCCATTTATCAAGCTGTTTAACGCCTTTTTATCATTTTTATCATAAGTAGAAGTGCACTTTCACGCTTGTTTGAGATTCTCTTTTGAGTTCCCAACATCTTTCTTTTTTGTGTTAAGTTTATATATTCGTTTAAAAAATTTTAATTATTTGTTTAATATTCGATTATTGATTTTTAGAGCGTATTTAATAATGATTAGATTTATATTTATGATACGAATCATTGTTTGTAGAAGAGGCAATTACGTGATCAAATTGTGTATTCATTATCTAAACGGAACAAGAAATTGAAGCATTAAACATGAAAGCAACGAACAGTAGAAATGAATAGGTAAATAGAACACGAACAACACGAAACTGAATTGAAAATTAGAATAGGAAACAAGAAAACTATAAGGGATAAATAATAGACAAAAAATAAGAAGAGAAAGGTAACACGAAACGGAGAAATAAACAGAGTAAACAAGAATTTAATCTGTAAAACTGAGTAAACAACAAGAATTTAAGCTGCAAAACACAGTAAGAAACTAGAATTTAAGCTGTAAAACACAGTATGAAACAAGAAATTCTATGTTAAAACAGAATAAGAAACAGTAAATAAACAGAAAAGAAGAACAGAAACGATAAAATGAATAGAAAACAGAACAGAAACGAAGAAAGTGAAGGGAGAAAAAAAAACAAAACGTGTAATAAGGAACTGAATGGACAAATAGAGAAGATAACAAGAAACTGAATGAAAGATAGAAAATAATGAAATGAACAGGAAAAGAAAACGAACAATAAAACCGAACAATAACACCAAATAACAATATATATAGAATTGCATTATTGAATAGAAAACAAATCTGAAAACAAGCACAAAACAAGAGAACGACATAACAGAACCGGAAAAAAGAACAGAACAAAGTTTATAACAATAGAACCGGACAAACGAACTAAACAGAGAACAAGCCAAATTCTGAAAATTACACGAGTAGAATTATTTGGGAAACGATTATTTTAGAAAATATTCATGAATATATTGGAGAAAGCATTTACAAAAGAATTATGATTAGTTTGAGAGAAGTTGGTAAGTGCAATTGTTCAAAAGGAAACTGATAATAAGAAAACTTGTTATAAACTTCTAAATGGGCACAAATTATCCCGTTTGACATCTGTTGAGTATAAGGCGCCACTTTTCCCTATTGACGTCATATTCGCGACCTGTTGTCTCTCCAAAGACCCCGATATCAACCGCCGACCGAGATAACAAAACAGTTGAGTTACGACTCTTCGTCTTCTAATATATTCTTGCCTTTTGTTAGTCTAACGCCGAATACAATATCCTGAGAAAACTTTGAGTCTATTTCAACTAATACATGACAATGGACCTTTCATAAAATTCTCTGCTCTTGTATTATTTATCAGGGATGTCTTCTCATTTTTTTTATCAAGAAGAATTCTCTTTCTTCAATTTGTCCTCAATCTTTATTCTTCTTTATTAACATTGTCAACAAATATTCTTCTTCTGCTCAACTTTTTGGCTGTTAAATTTTACTTTCTGCTTGTTAAAAATTCGAATAAATGCAGAAATATTTTAATAACGGAATATGGGGCCCAGGCGAATATGAATTAGGGCCCATATACAGAATTTATCGAATAAACTATGAAGTAAAGAATGAAATTTGATAATTAAGTGTAGATATAATCATAAATGAAAGAAAAAGTCTGTTCAATGGTAATTCTTTAATTTCTTTTGAAGAATTCTGTTAAATTTTCTTATTTAGTTCTGGTACCTTGCGTACTTTTTGGATAGATGTCAAAAGCGCGTGAAATCTTTCTGTATATTCCTTTGTTTTCGCTTTCGCTTATTGTTCCATCTACTAAGAAGTAGAATAGAGAAAAAAATAGATTTATTACAAGATCAGATTTCTTTAAAATTTTTGGCATGTTTTAAAATTTTCTATGATTTTTATAAAATTTACTGTTTTTGCATTTTTTTTCATTTCAAAAGATTCTTTCGAGTAAACTTCTACTTCTTTGAAATTAAAAATACTTGAATAAATTAAAGTTTTTTTTTAGTTTCCCACAGGACAGACTCAGAGAAGATTCGTTATTATACTTCTATATACTTGATATGCATTTCACGTATGATTTAACATACTCCTCTTAAGCTTGGTAAATCTAGATAACGAGATTCCTTAACATCTAAATAAAGAAATAATTTAGTCAAGTATTTTTAATTATAATTCTAATATTTTATATTATTCTGTTCTCATCTGTCATAGTTCTTAGTTTCCAATACAAGAAGATAGAGGAGGAGAAGAAGAAGAAGAAGAAGAAGAAGAAGGAAAAAAACCAATAACAAAGTTGTACAAGAACTATAAAAATATAACAAAAGAACTAAACAGATACAATTTGAAAGAATAAAATTAAAAGAAAAAGATAGATTTTACTATTTTTTTTGTTCTAAATATGAGTATTATAATAAATTCTATTCTTAACAGAAGTGACATATTTTCCAATATTGTGCAACAGCCGGACATCAAAGACGTCGAAATCGAGAGATCCCAAAGCTGACAAAGAAATAATGTTATTTTAAATAAAAATATCAAAATATCATACTTTGCTTTATTCTATCGAGGGAAAAATAGTTTGATTCAATTTATTTTTAGAGCCACCAGTGATTAAGTGGATAAAACCATTGAAAACTGGTTCGCATCTGACGTAATAGCTGGTCACTTGGAGTTTTTACATTTTCTTCACTTGTATAACGCCTAAATAGGGGATCAGTTTTCCTAGACAGTCCTTCAGGAAGGACTTTCCATACGGATTTTGGGTTTCTTTGTGATACAGCAATCCAAAACTAAACTCATTTTACGTTTCTATTCTGATATTTTTCAGTGAATTCCACAAAAACAATGCTTCGAATGTTGACATATCTTCGAATGTTGATTTCACGTCATATTTTTGAGGAAAATAAAATATAAACAAAAAAATACGCATTCCTATAAGCAAAACAAATGAAATAAAAGGGAGGAAAAAATGCACTCATTTAAATTTTTAAAATTCAATCCACATTTTCCGATTCCGAAAATCAGTTTTAGTTAGAAGAACCGATTGCAAGAATCCATAATGTACCGTTGTTTAACCCGAAAACTGTTCTGTATTCAATGTTATTCTTAAGAAAAGATGCAAAAACTTCTTAACAGAAAGTTTTTCTCCTGTCAAAATTTAGTAATGTTATTTCTCGGTAAACGTCGATGGATCGGCGTCTCCCTCCTCAACAATATTACAAGAATATTTTACAGAGAAGAATATAAATGTATGTTTACCAAGCAAATACATTTTTGAATATTTGTACAGTACGTCTGTATAAATGTATTTTAGGCACAATAACATACAGACACGTTCGGTTGTTTCAGATAATCTGAAGTCAACCCGCTCTGACATCAATAAGTCACAACCTCTATCCCACAAATATCATCAATCAAAAGTCTATTCACACAATTTTCGAATTGAATGGCGACTAGTATTATTGTCACCAACATACATTTATGTCAAGAACATGGAAAGAATGTAGGGAAAAAAAACTAGAAAAAAAAAGTTTGTTTTATTTTGACAAAAGAAAAGTTTCCGAGGGAAATTATGCGAATTTTATACAAATTTTGTTAGAAATGGAAATATTCTTCTCTTTTCTTCCCCCTTTCTTCTTGCAAGAGGGGACGGGACAGTCACACACACACACACAAAAAAAGAATAAATTTTTCGTAGATAAAGTGACGAGTAAGTAATTTAATTTACGATTGTGTGGCTTAAAATTTGATTACCAAGCTTGGCATTTTGAAAATTTGCTGGAATGATTTTGCTCTTAAATTGTATTACTTAATTTTCCGCCAAGCCCTATAGAAGATGATGGCGCCCTCTTAAAATTTTATTCTATTTTTTCGTATTTATGTATCGAATACTTTTAAAATCGAGAAGCGTAAACTTGAATATAAATTATGTATGCAGAAGTTTACTTGAAATAATTAGTTTAGAGTTATAATTCAAAAAGTATATATATATATATATATATATATATATATATATATATGTGTGTGTGTGTGATACTATATACAAGATGCTGTGTATAAATATAGAAGAATATAATAGGATCAAGAAGATGGCTAGATGTAGAAGAATGATGCGGAATGAGGAAGATGGCTAGATGTAGGAGGATGGTGCGGGATGAGGAAGATGACTAGATGTAAGATGATGATGCGGGATGAGGAAGATGGCTAGATGTAGGAGGATTGTGCGGGATGAGGAAGATGACTAGATGTAGGATGATGATGCGGGCTGAGGAAGATGGCTAGATGTAGAAGGATAGTTCGGGATGAGGAAGATGACTAGATGTAGGAAGTACAGTGCGGGATGAGGAAGATGGTTAGATGTAGGAGGATGATGCGGGATGAGAAAGATGGTTAGATGTAGGAGGATGGTGCGGGATGAGGAAGATGGTTAGATGTAGGAGGATGGTGTGAGCCTAATTTTATTTCTCATTCGTCTATATTGCTAGCAATATTGAGAGGCCTTTCTTTCCTTTTCTTGGATATGCATATAATTAGCATAAAAACAAAGAAAATACTCATTTTAAACTTATTCAAGAATATTCCGGCATTATCGAGTGGAAATTATAGAATAACGCGATTAAAATCGTTAAGTACCTAACCACGTGATAAAATTTATAAATGAAGCTTGTTAACGCATTATATTAAATGATATCCCCTACAACACTAACACATTTCGATACGTAATTTCAAATACATTAAACCACTTAGTAATATTGCATTGAGTAAGATATAAATTCATCACCCGATTCTGTAGAATTGGAAGTATAAAGTAGCTTATGTGACTCTACTTTCGTGATTCTACTCACTTTTACAAGTGGAATGTAATGTATATATAATTTCCCACTGTATGTATAAATTCATATGAACTCCATTAAGAATTTGATTGATTGAATAAGTTATTTAATTCCGTGTTATTGCTGCAAAATACACGATTTTATATAAAGAATAACTGCAAGTTTGCGCTTCGAAACATTAATATATAAGCCTTATAAAATTCTGGTTTTACTCCCTCATACTTATGTCATACTTTTCCTCTATTATATATAACAGAGGAAAAGTAAGGCGATCTGTCAAAAATAACCCCCACCCCACATTTTTACATTTTTGAACACAGAGGACCACGAAACGTCTAGAAATATAAGAAATATTGGGCATTTTTCTATATGTATGGCTGTATGTGTGGAGGGCACGATTCTATTCCCCCATTTTAAAGCTTAATAACTCTTGTACCTTCTATTGAAAATTTTTGAAATTTTGCAGAGAGGTTTCTGTATTAGGGAGAAATGTTTCTAGAAATTTTCAGGAAATTCGGGTCATTGGTTCGCGAGATATGGCCCCACCCCTTTAATATCACCGGAACCAATCTGAAGACTTATAAATGGTAATGGTAACGAATTATTAGGAATGAAAACAAATAAAGAATGCGGGAAAATCCAGCAACAACGTTGCCATCGTTTTTTTTATGACAGATTAAAGATTCAGTACAGTATGATAAGGGCGTTACATTATATAAACTTACACGAAAGGAGCCCTTTTATATAGGTTAAAGTTAGTAAATTTGGGTCATGTAATAAGATAAATAGTGAATTAAATAGAGATTAAGGGATTAGATCCGGGATTGACTTTATTCTTTTACGAACTTGTCACATTTTAATGGAAGTTTTCGATTTGGTTTAAAGACATTTAAGTTCCTAATCTCTTAACAAGATTCTCTCGTAAATCTAACTACACTATAATGTAATTAACTAGAGCTTTGTTCTCTTTATTAAATGCTCTCTAACTTTATATAAATACTTCTTTCTTAATGTATTTCTCTATTTTGAAATTTTTATGCTATTCGGCTTCTAATTTTTGAATAGGATTCCGTTGAAAATCTTTATCATTTTTTCTATACATCATCGATTTATATAGAAATGTGTAGGCTCGTGTAGGATTGAAAAGAAATTTTATCATCATCAATATCTTATGACATCGTAGAATCAATATCGTGCTTTGATAGGAACCATAAATGAGTTTGTGAGGGTCATAGTTGCTTTAGTACGCAAAAAAATGCAAAGCTTTCTTTATATTTTGTCAATCTTATTAGATCCTTAATACATGCCCGTAGCTACAGGGGGGTCAAGTATGGCTTCGGTTATTCCTGATCTCCTATAGCAATGGGCTGCGTCAAACAGTGGCCCTAGACAGTGGCGCGTAATAATTTAATGAGGCACAGACAAATTTGAATTAGATGGCTTCATATAGTGTTAAATTCAAACATCATTTTGAGGAAATATTCTCTTATATAAGATTGGTATGGGACCTTTTTTTCCATAGAATAATGGCCATTGGCCCTAAAAAGTTTGAACCACTCCTGCCCGTTCTTCCAAATGATGGAATTCTGTCTATATGTTTATCTGAAGTATATATGTAATAAATTTTTACGTCTAATAGTAGGCCTATTATATATTGTATTATATTTATTAAATTTTCTGGGGCCCGCTCCAGACTTTTTCTTCGTGGTACTCCGTGGTCCCCTAATTTCTAGAAAGCCTATCACTCAATTTTTCGGAGCCACCCTTAGTATATTTGATACAGCTGAACCCTCGCCTTGATACAAAATGAACTGCTTCACGAGAGCTCAGTCCAAGGATAATTCCTGAATTTATTATAAGATAATTGAATAAGAATCCTCATCACAAACTTCATGATCTCAAGGCCTTGAATCCTTTTGTCAACAGACAGTTTTGTCTCAAGAACAAGGACTATTGTATTGTAGGGAACATGCACTTTTTTTTACTCTTTCCGCCCTGTGGGGTCTAAGAGGGCCTTATTTAGCAAGCCCATTATGGGTTCGGCCAGGCCCACGTTAAGCTGCCACCTTGTTGATCTTGGAGTTAGGCAGACAACCACCATATTTTCTGTCTGTAAATGTCGTGCGCCTGAAAAGCTCATCAGTGCACCCACATCAAGTCAAAACTACCTGCCACCCACAGCATCCACTCCAATTCATCAGGCCACTGATGCCAGACGTAGCGGTGATGTTGAAAAATTGCATAAAATATATCAAGTTTTGGTATTTCTTCTGATATTTATTACTTCTAAAAAATATTGAGAAAACTTTAGTTATTCATGTCTAAAGAAAAAATACACAATAATATTNTGCTTACTGTGACGTTTAAAACTTTGATATATCTGCAACCGACTCCCTTAAGGTGTCTACTAATGTAAGAATAATCAATACGTCAGATAAATGCTGTAGAATATCCATTACAACTGACGTATCAACCTTTGTAGCTATATTAAAATATTCTTCGTTAAATTAAATATCATACATTAATTAACTTATTATAACTATTTTAAAATTAAAATTAAAGACGAGAACTTATAAAATGCTTAAATTCGTAGAGTTAAACTGGCTAGAAATGCAAATAATCGAAGGATAAAGGTATTTTAACCTCGATTTTTATAAAATTAACGTGTCAAAACCTCTCATTAAATTAAAAAATCGGCTTTGACACTTATAAATAATAATTGTTGTAGCATTATTTAATGTAAGAAGCTTAATTTATTATAAGTAAATAAATCTTATCTTTTCACTACATGCACATGTTAAACGCTTTCATGGAGTTAAAATTAACATTAGAAAATGAATGAAGATTTTCATGAATATAGAAAATCCATTTATATTGAAATTTATGGTAATTCTTACCATTATATTGCATATTTCCTTTGCATTTTGTTCTTAAAGAGATAATAATAATGCTTTATGAAACGTGTAATATTAATGACCCAAAGGCTATACTGTA